ATAAATCTGGGGGTCCAATTTTAGAACACATCCTTTAATTTGCATGCATGATTCTGTAATGCAAATAACCTGCCAAACAAATAAGAAAAGTTTGAAGTTAATTTGATGCTATTCAAGTCAGGTCAGGCACATGTATAACGAGGACATCAATGAGCTTACTCTTTTGGACCCAGAATTTATAGAATGACCCTCTCGAGTTTTAAACATCTACAGAAACAGAAAAAACACTGGAAGTGGAAAAAACTGGGAAAGTGATGAGGCTGTCACTGCTGTGAGACATTGTATATGTAAATGTATGCAAGTTGTAACATCATACATGTAAGTACCGGAGCTGCGAAGTACAGAAATGTAAGGAGAGTATGTGTAAATGGTCAGACATTTTCCAACATGTTTGGTGCTGCAGAAACTATAAAAAGGAATCATTATCCAAACAAACAACATGTACTGTATGTACACATGTACACAGTCTGTAGAGAATGTAGGCCATGTATACATGTACTGTCACCATACCATGTCACCGTACCACCCAGTCACTGTCACCAAAATTATCAGGAAAATAAAGGAGACAACCTACAAACTTACGTACATTAAGTTTGGTACATGTGATACACTATAACTTATTTCAACTTTTGACAGTGTAGTTAGGCAAATGCAGAAGAAATGATTTCCATAAAATTAAAAAGAAACGTTCCACCTTTGAGGAATAATAAACACAAATTGTGCTGAGCATTAGATTTAGACAGGCTTGAGAGACATAATGGTGTTTAGATGCCCCCTCTCTGCATGAGTGCCTGACAACGCCAGCTGGAGTCCATGGTTTCACTTACCACACACACATGTACATGTTTATGTCCATGTACCTGTAGGTGTACCCACATGTAGCTCACTCTATCTGACAACAGTTCCCACATTTCAGCTGACACATGTCCATAGGAAAAAAAAAATTCCTGCCCTTTCCAAGTGAGGTCCAAGGCTCACAACTCAATTACTAAGGAGACTATTCCTTCCTCCATGGGTAGACCATGAATAATGATGTTTCGTCTACCAATCTGTTATCACAGTCAGCAATTGAGATAACAGATAAAGTCTTTCCAGTAGTTCTCACCATTCTTTAAAAAGTTTAATGCATTATCATGAAGATAGATGGAAGCACTGGCCTCATTACTGGAAGCACCACACAGTGACACACCAAAACCTTGAGAAATGAGGGACTATGGGTCAGAGTTTATTCTGCACGATTGTGTAGGAATGCAGCCTTCCTTAAGCCACTTGAGGCCTTTTCACACTAGACAAATCTCGGGGTTGACTCAGGGTTGAAGCTGGGTTGAAAACGGGCGGTAATTCACACTTCAAAAATTTCAACCCTGCATCAACCCCATCATTGACTTCAACCTGGGTTGATCCAGAGCAGGGTTGAGATTTTTAACCCGGGTTGAAAATTGTTTGTGCTCATTTTCGAGTTGAACTCACCCTGATACGCCTAATTCACACGGAACAAGTGTAAAACAATGCTGGGTTGAATGAGGGGTTGAAAATCCAATTTTCAACCTAGGGCAGTCATGTGCTCCACCAGGGTTGAGTTCAACCTGGGTTGAGAGGATGTAGTGTGAAAACGCCTTTGGTTACTTACTAACTTACATACATGTACTTATTCCCATCAAGGAGTAAATACACTATTATGAGTGCAGAGAAGATGCAGGGAAACTGACACCATCTTGGAAATTGCTTGTGGACCAAATTAGCAGGGATAAGGTTGTAGAACCATGGTAGAACATTGCTGGTGGAGTTTATATAAAAATGTATGTAATTATAAGTTTAAGAAACAAAAACTGGTAGTACTTAAGATTTTACTCACACTGGTACAATAATCCTTGAAATCACTTGGGTGAAGTCTGCTTCCTCAAAAGCCAGCCATCCACTGGCACTGGCACCAGAGATGTTACATCCTTGCACAGTCTACCTCTCTGACCTGAACTGTTCCAGGAACACACTCTCTCAGGGAGCACTACTGCATTGAGTTCAAGCACAGGGACTTTTTCCAAATTTGACAAATACACGTACTCGTACATGTACACGTGTACTGTACAGTAAAGGTTGTAAAGTAGCCCTAACGTGAACCATGGAGGAAT